TTCTCAATAGAAGCCCTGTATTGTCGAATACGGGACAGCTTCCATGGAGAAAGTACTTGAATGGCATAAAGCAGCCAGATTACAGGCATTCACGCTTGCGCTTTACAGTACCAGGGGCGCCGCTAGCTGTTTAAACGCCCGTGTGCAATACCGATTATGCCGCCCCCTGTTTAACTACGACTACCTACGCTGAGCTTGCCAGTAAGGCTCTTTAGTGTTGTCTCATAAGGGTGTGAAAAAAGAAAAGAAATACTTTATAAAGAAAAACTATTTATTATTACTAAGTTATTTTTGTTTACTTAAATGTAAAACCATATAAATATTTATTTACAGAAATTTAACTCTTCTTGCCTTTGTTTGCCGAAATCTGCTATCAATTTTCTTGTATCCAAGCTGTCTAAGATTTCGTGTTCAATTGAAACTATAGCTAAATTACTTAGTCTTTGCTGGTACATTGTTGATCTTAAATAGTTTTTTATAATTTTTTACTTTGAAAAGGACCTTTCACCAAATGCAACTGAAACCGGCAATGTAAGTAATATTCTTAGTGCTATTGCTGTGTTAGGAAATGTTGATATTAAGTCATTAGTAAAAAGATATTGTAATTGACTGACTGATTCATCATCGCCCAGAGCAACCTGCTGAACCTAAAGTTGTGATATTTGTTACACAGTTAGGGACGTCATGAAAATACACACTAAATTTTAGGCGGCCATACACGTTAAGTAAATCCTTTGAGGATTAACCGCGCATGCCTGACTTTGAGGAAACTCAGAATTTCCTATCGCCCACATACGAGGAAGAAAATCTCTGTCAGTCAGTCAGTTGGCCATGGCATCTGATGACGACATACTGGCTGTTCTTGGATGTTTATTGGCAACAAATTCTATTAAAACTCGCGGAAAAAACACGTGCATAGAAGTCTATGGTGTAAATAGTAGTAGTAGTGGTTTGGGTAGCACTGATCACAAAATTAATTTTTCATATGAATAATTTTTTAATGGAATTATTTCAGATCACAAAATTAATTTTTCAAGAAAAATCTTGGGTTATAGATTCTGTTAGAAAGCATCAATTATCAGCGAAAGATCAATGACAAATCGATTTTACTACCAAAAAAATTCATGGATTAAATTTATAGACGAAAAACCATAGGATATAACTGGCTGGATCGAACATAGTAATTTGAAAACTTATTAAATTATTTCTCAACGTATAAAGAATTAAAGAGAAACAAAACACCTTTTTTGCCTAGAAATAAATATAATTTCAAAAAACAAACGTTTTCAACCTAGTTAATAGGCCATCTTCAGGTCGAAAAAATGGAACATAAATGTTCCATGAATAGAACATAAAAATTTTTTAAATAAAAAATTTTACAAGAGAAAAAATAACGGAAGAAAATATATAATATAAACGGAAGAAAATATATAATAAAAATATAAAGAATTATTTTTATTTAAAGGTGAATAATCTTTAAAAAAATCTTTTTAAAAACTGGAGCTACAGTTATTTAGACATCGAACTTCTTGGGTGTCCGAGATCGGATAATAAAAA